GATGCTGTGAGCATGGAAAGATTAACGGAACCTTGTCCTTACTCTCAATGTGCTCATCATTGTGGCGAGTTTATATTTTTGCATTATATGGTTTCTTCTGTATTGTAAAGATTATGACGTTGGAATTAAATTTAACTCTTCAGTCTTAGAACCCTAGTAACTCTAGAAATGTTATACACTAAAACAATGTCCAGTACACAATGCTCTCCACAAGTCCTGTATGACTGTGTACATTTAAATTTGACTAATTAAAATTAAATAAATAAAAAATGCATTTCCTCAGTTGCTCCAGCACAACATTCTCCATAGCCACGTGTGGCTAGTGGCTACCCTTTCAAACAGTGCAGAGAACATTTCTATCTTTCCAGAAAATTCCATAAGATAGTGCTGCTCTAGACTGCAGAAGTCAGGGTCTCTTAGAAAATTAGGACATAAAATTATAAGCTTTCATTCCTCTAAGTAAGAATTCAGGATCCAGACAACACTCAAAATTAAGATCCAGGCACGTATTACAAATCCATTTAGCTAATTTCCTCACCACAGTCGTATTTATCATCATTGTGTTCATTCCAAAGAGCTGATGGTCAGAAAGGCCAGGTGTCTTTCAAGATACAATCCATTCCTGGCGTGTAAGAGGATCCAAATTATAGCCACATTTCTTTCTTTAGGGAGGCTTTGTATATGAGATATGATCATGTGGTTTTCAAATATGTGATGAAACTACTGCCAGATAGTAGGCCTGACAAATTCCCAGTTCATTATACGGACTGTAAAATAGCAGCTCATTTCTGTACCTTCCCAAACATAGGCAAAATGCAAAATAAAAAATGAGACCCTCACACATCAGGAGGCAACGCCCAGTGTTCACGTGGCAGACAGCTTTCACTTCACAGAGCACTGCCCACCTGCATGGGTGCATTAGACATCAGACCAAAACAAGGAATTTGTATCCCGTTATTGCATCCTAAAAGCAAAGACATTGTACATATCCAGTAAGTCTTTGTACAAGGAACACTGAGCAGTATCACAGTGATTCCCTTCAAAGCACATTTTATTTTTAAAAACTCTTTCATACATAATTTTTATTTTCATTGTTACCTCTTACATCAGCTTTTGGTGAAAGGGCATTATCTTAAACCATAGTTCAGTTCTATGAAGGCAGTTTTATAAGTGGTCAGAATATTATGAACCAAGAATATAGGAACAAGCCAGGAAAATAAGGGAAGCCTCCAGAAAACCAACCAAATTGATTGGCTGCATGGAATTGTTTAGAGATTCCTATAGGGTTCCTCTACGTGGCCTCAAAACAGTAATTTGTGGTTTTCATACACTTGATACTTAGAGCTTCTCACTGGCAGTAACAGGTCCTCCTGCTTCTGCAGAGCATCCCTAGAAAGAAGGGCCACGTTGCCCAGCAGGAGGATAACTGTCCTTTCTGTTATCACAGGGCATCACGTATCCAGTAGATCGCACCATGTTGTCCAATCCCAATTTAAAAAGAAAGGAAGCATAAAGCTTATCAGTTCAAACACAATTTTGGACAATGGAATTGGAAACTATTTAAATTATTTGGGAAAATCTTTTAATAAAAATATTTGCAGTGAATCATAGGAAATTTATCTCTACAACTGACATTTGATTATTTTCTACAAAGACAGATATAATCTGCAATCATGGAGATTTTAATGTTTCAGATCACTAATTTTTCAATTAAAATTTAAAAGGAGTCCAGGTAAATATTCCCTATGGAGGACCACTCATTTCCTTACACTTTGTTACCTTTGTCTAAATATTCCCAATCCTTGATGAAATATGACCTCCAATGTCACGATCCCTTCATTTTTAATATTCTTCATTGTGGTCTTCCTTGAATCCTTTTTATTTTTCTTCTTGATATTTTGTTATTTGGAATATAGGAATAGTTATGTTTAGAAAATTTGGAAAGTATAAAAAAAAATAAAGAAGATAAAGATGTCAAAATAGCAATTGTTTCTGTGCTCAGAATTCAGAGGAAAAGAACTTGACACTCATCCACCCGCAAATGGTAATGGAAACCCTGCGTCTTAAGACATTCCTAAGTACAAACTCACAAGAGAAGACAGTCTACAGAAAAAAAAAAGAAAGAAAAGAAAAGGAAAAAAACATCAGGAACACTACCATTTAATGGCCAGGTGGAGAGGATGGGCCTAGAAATGATTCTGGAAACAGTGAGGACACCGAGGTAGGCATGAAACCCAGAGACCGTGATGTCATGGAGCCCTTGGCAGAGACAGGACACTCCCATGAGAAAGCAGGTCAGGGGAAGAGTAAAAAGCCCACTGGGTTTATCAGCGTGGTCCTTGGCGACCTTACTGAAAGCTAAGCAATGGGGAGGTACAGTGAGTTGCCGAAGCTGCCTGCAGCCAGCACAACCACGTGGAGGGGTCTGGCTGTGAAGAGAAGGAAGATGGCTCTGTGTAGCCTTGGGGCAAAGAGAAAGTTGGCTTGTTTGTTGCCTGTCTGAAATAGTTAAAGGGCAGTTGGAGGAGTAGAGTTAAGGGTGACTGAGACCAGTGTCTCCTGCTCCTAGACTTTCTCATTTAATCAGTATAGAGCTAAAGCCTGGACATGAGGGTGTTATTTAAGTTTCCCAGGTGATTCTAACATTCACCCATTGAGAATGACCATTCTAGGTCATATTTGCCTACATGTTTAGTTTAGAGCCGTTACACCAGTTTGCCCAGTATCAACTCAGCCCAGTCCCAGCATCCTTGTCCTTTGGCAGATTTACCTGAGGACCAGTCATTTGACAGGATCACCTCAAACCCATCCTGGGGAAGTTATCTTCTAGTGTTAATCTACGTTAGCTTGTCAGCTCAGTTCAGAGCATCCTGTCCCCATGGGGTTGTTCAGTCTGCTTCAGTAGACAGTTTCAAAATGATAATCTTTTAAATAACTTTCTCACTAAAGCCAAAGCCGAAGAATTCACTTAGTTTTTTTTTCCTGTCTCTGTTTGGTTCCCAAGGCATATCTTTTAAACCAAGACCATATGGCATCACAAATTAGTGTTAAGGTCATTTCTTTCCATTCATTCAGTAAAAAGTTACTACTATGTCATAATTAACATCTGAATATCATTTGAAAGTTTTAAACATATTTATATGTATATATCATCTCAGTAATCACAAAATGGCACTGCACCTGGTTTGCACTAGAGGAAATGGAGGCTCAGAGAAATTATGTAACTTGCCAAGATTTCACAGCTAAAAATAGTAAAGGAGGACATGAGTGTGGATCCTCTGATGTCACATCGACTGGCCTCTCAGGAGATCATGCTTCATCTCCAATGGTGGGAGTTACTTTACACATACTACTCTGCCTGGCGATTCATCTGAATAAGATACATATTACATTGTTTGCCAAGAAGAAAAAAGCAACAACAGTCATAATAAGAGAAGGTGAGGTTGCAGAACCTCCTGATAATGGTGACTTCCTCAGGAGACAGTGTACGGGGCCCTTTGTGCTGGTGGGAGAGGCGTGTGGAAAGAGGGTTCCTTCCGAGACAACAGTACTTGATACTCATGTAGATTCATATAATTTTAGAGCTAGAAAGAAATCGTAGCCCAAATCTCTCATTCTATAGAGGTGGATAAAGTGACATCACATATAATTAGTATCAAAGTTCAAATGCAGATGTCTTAAATATCAATACATTGTGGGGGTTCTTCCCACTTGCATCATAATAACAATTCAGATTATCCAAATATTCATACTCAAGGAAAAATGGGAGAAAATGGAATCTATCCTGAAACTGAATATTAAAGCTGTTCTAGAAATGTCTAGATTTGAGGATCTAGTTTACAGATCCAATATGGTAGAGACTAGCTGCATGTAGCTCTTTCAATGTAAGGCAATTAAAATTATATAAAATATAAAATTTTGTTTCTTATTCCTGCTAGCTGCATTTCACATACTCATTAGTTACATGTAACTAGTGGCTACCATATTGAATAGTGCAGATTTTAGAACTGTACCCCCATTGCAGAAACTTCTGTTGGACATCGCTGATCTAGGGTCTAGATTATGCCATTCTCCACGCCATGAGCATTGCTAGGCTTTCCCAGCAGCATTCCGTAGACCTAAGTGCAACACTAAAAGCCATTCAACTTTATTCATTGGACATGTTGCCCACTATTGTTTAAAAATCATAAGTAGGGGGCTTCCCTGGTGGCGCAGTGGTCGAGAGTCCGCCTGCCAATGCAGGGGACACGGGTTCGTGCCCCGGTCCGGGAAGGTCCCACATGCC